GTGAACGGGTGCTGCTTGTAGGGACTGGTCTGCTCTAATCACTATGGCTGATTTCCTCTTACTAATTGTTTAACCAGTTGGTTATATATTCAATATTTTTTCTATTTGAGTATTTAATTGAATTAGTGCTAATTGGTGGTTTGTATTCATACACTTAAACTTAAAAATGTAAAGTAATAATAAAATTATTTAAAAGAGCAACACGCAAGTTTCTTGCTCGTTCTTCTTGTGTTGAGACAGATTTCCGAATGAGTGGTAGATTATAAAAATGTGATGACTATTCAAAAGTGCTTCAATGTAAGTTTATTTGAATAAATGATTTTCTATTCTATTCTTTGTGTATCTGTGCATTAAGGTTTTAATAAATAAATAAATAAATAACATTTTATCCCTGAATTGAATATATTGATGAAACTCAAATTTGAAAGTAGAAAATCGTGAAACATTTAATAATACGTATAATCCGTGGGCAATTCACACAGCGCCATCTAGTCCCAAGCTAAGTAGAATGTGTTATGGGTACTAGACAACTGATACAAATACGAGTATATATATACTAGGAAATGTTTTTATATAAATGAAAAAATCGATTACATTATTGGTTACATCTGGTTTATGACATCAGAAAATATTTATCTGATGATTGTTGTCATATTTTTTATATTGTATAATTATTACTATTAATGTATAATTATAATAGTGCATAAGCCATTAATTTTAAATTATAACATTATAGATTAGTAGCTTTTGCCCGCGGCTTCGCTCGCGTTAATTTGTCCCCTTAGGGGAGGAATTTATCAAAATCCTTTATTAGGGGATGCCTACGTCATAGTAGCTTTATGCATGCAAAGTCTCAGCCCGATCGGTTTAAAATTGACAAACTTTCATCCCCTATTTTATACCCTTGGGGATAGAATTAATCAAAATCCTTTCTTAGCGGTTGCCTACGTCATAACTGCCAAATTTCAGCCCGATTCGTCCAGTGGTTTGGGCTGTGTGTTGATAGATCACTATGCCAGTCAGTCACCTTTGAGTTATATATATTTAGATTTAATTTTAATCCCATCAAAAATATAAATGTGAAATGATAGCCGAGTTCAATATTATGATATATGCCTTCATTGTTGACTTCTACGACAAAAGAGGTGAGATCTAAATGGGTGCCAAGTTCAATGGTCTGTCCTGAAATGTATTTATAACAATATAAATCATTTCTTCTTATAACTTAGGATAATATACTGTAGCCTAAGGTCTGACTTGGCTAGTTCTCATATACCAATTATTACATTCGATGGCTAGTTACTACTAATAATAAAATAGGAACCGACAAGTAACATGTTTAGAACTTGCGAAGGCTACAGTATATTTCGTATATGAAAACTAGCCAAGTCAGACCTTAGGCTGACTTGGCTAGTTTTCAGCAGCAGACAGTAATGGACAGGGAGTATTACTTTCTTCCTAAGTAGTAATGAATCTATGTCTATTGTAGCGAACTCCTTGATAAGTTTTTATACCATTTTTAAGTTTTTTAATAATATTCTTTGACATATTATTTTTGTTACTTTTCTATTATATATCGCTGTCATACTAGTCGCATTTTATTTAATCTCCGTATTTTCCTCATTAAAATCCTCAGCACCTCTCACTCATCAGACACATTTGATACCTCCGTTTCATCTATCATACCTATTACAAATAAAGATGGGAAAAGGATTGGGTAATAACCATATTTTTTCTTACATAAGAAGCGAGCAAATTTCTTATGTACTTTTTCTTGAAGTTGTGAATATTTGGTTGTACTAGGATCCTAGACAAGTGAACCGTATTTGAATCTAACTTGGCAGCAAGCATAGTCGTCGATTCTGCTTTATTAACTGGCCTTGAACAGGAATCATTTTATGGAAAATATAGGTAGAATTCTCGACGTTTCGACTAGGTTGCACTAGCCGTGGTCTGGTACTGACTGGAGTATAACAACATCAAAGTTCATAGGCGGGCAGTTTTTTCTATTAGCTTGACTGGTTTATTAATCGACACTTTTCATGTTGTCTATGAACGAAGAACTACATAGTATAAAACAAAGTCGCTGTCGCTACCGTCCCTATATATGCTTAAATCTTTAAAACTACGCAACGGCTTTTGAAGCGTTTTTTATAGATAGAGTAATTCAAGAGGAAGGTTTATATATATAATACATGTACACCCTTCCGAAGCCAAGAACTAATAAAACAGATAATAAATCGATAAAACATAACAGTAACAATAGAATAAAACCAATAGCACTGACTGTCTATGTTGGCACTGCATCGTCTCATAAATTCATTGGCAAATATTCGTGCCATAACATCAGCGCCGTCCAGTTAGACCGAGTTCGTTTCCCGTAAATTGGGGCTACGCACTCTGGGCGTGGTAAAAAGGAATTAGGCAGCCGAATTGGCATTTAAACAGAATTCACACAGTTGAAATGAGTTTTATTTTAAAGACCTCGTTTCGTGATAATGGAGAGAGAAGGCGCCAGACTTGAGCCCGATGACTTGTCCCTCGCCGATCGTATTGCATGCCTTTGTGCACGCAAATTCAATATCAACCTAGCACCATTGGAGTAAATCTAGAATAGCAGTGAATTGCTGAAGGGTATTTTATTTCTCAACATTAGGCCTTCAGCTTTAATAACTAAGTATTCGTCTAAATTTGCATCTCTGAGTTTTTGCCATTAAGGAACTTTTTGTCCCAAATAATACGCTTATTGCGTCGTTACTTGTGACTTCGAGTTTTTATTACGTAATGGATTTTTTTTATACCGCGTAGTTTGCTAACTAGCATACGACCTATCTGATGGTAAATGGTTACTATGGACTGTCTGTCAGCCAGGGATGTCCTTTTGAACTTTGATATTACATTTAAATAAGTAATGTAGGTTTATTTATATGTACCTTTTAATATTTATGATTTGTTTTCGCATTAATTCCTACAAAGGGCATAACTCCAGAGATACTCCAGTCACACAATCTTATATTAGTACAATTTTGTATACCACGTAGATGGCAAAGAAGCGTATGGTCCATCTGATGGTAAACGGTTACCGTAGCCTATGGACGCCTAAAACACCAGGGGTGTCACGTGCGCGTTGCCGACCCTTAAGAAACCTTACTGTACCCTTCTTGAAAAACCCCATGCTGTAGTCTGGTGAGAAAACCTCGGCAGGTACTCGTTGTTCATTCCGCAATCTAAATGTACGCGGGAGGACGCTCCTCTGAATTTTGGACCTAGGATTTACATTATGTTTTTTAATAACGATAACATTAGCATGTGTGAGACTACAAATATTCAGTGTAGACAATTAAACATAGCTACTAGAAGCGTCGATCTCTCTATTAACTTTTCGCTGATTTTGCGTTGCGACTCACCACATTCAGTCACTTTGGTCACTAAACAGTCAACACTTCGTCGTTCGTCGTGCTGTATACGTGTGTAGGCTATGATTTTTTTTATTAAAGGGATTTGGGCTAATATTTAGTGCTTAGACCTGTAGCAATGCGACCTGCAGAGATTTATTATGTTCACCCTTTTTTAGAGTGCGCTGCTTAGGCCCGTCAGGGACAAGAATTGAAGGATATTCTTAGGAGGTATTTATATCCTTAGGATAGAGTAACTAAGACTGCATCGCTAGCATTGTCATTGCATTTAAAAAAATTCAAAGATGGATACAGAGAAACAGAAAGATAATGAAAACAAACTATTAAGTAAGTCATCTATACAAGAACACAATTGCAAATCATTTCCAAAAGATTAACAAGTCGAGCTCTGGGACTGAAACCACATTCCAAACTGGGCTGTAGGATTGCCTTAACGAGTCTGTAATAGATATCGTGAATAATATATTTGATTCGATCTGTAGCGAATGTAACGCGACTTTGGCACATTTCACTAAGCGTATCGACTCCCACGAGAGATGGGGTGGGTCTATCGGTATATTTCTGTATATATATCGTACCTTTACGACAGATCTATTAAACTGAGTCGATTCTCAGTTCTCTTTGCTTACTTCCAATATGTAAGCAAAGAGAACTTACATACGCCTTTAGCCATATGTATCACACTCACTCTCAGAATAGAATAGAAAATCATTTATTCAAATAAACTTACATTGAAGCACTTTTGAATAGTCATTACATTATTTTAATCTACCGAGATCTATTAAACACGAGATAGAACGTAATTTCTATCAATTAATTTTATACAATTTCGTTGTTACAAGTAAAAGTTTAATTCGATAATTTAAATTAATCTTAAGACAAGCTTTGTTAGCTCACTAAAATATTACAAAATACAATATTTTCTCATTTGAATATTCATAAACCAATGACTTCGTTACCCGCAATTGGTTTCAGATGTACATCTAAAATCGTATTGGCATTAATGTCAAAATTAGGTATAAATTAACATTTATTATCCAAATGAATGATTAATTAAATCTGAAAAGTTAATACTTAATTTTCGGTAATATTAGGGCATGCTCTGAATAACTTGTCGCAAGTAAGTTCATTCATACACTTAAGTATGCATTAACGATGCACATATCTAGATGTAATAACGGAATATTTAAGTTTAATTTAAACAATTGCAATATTTTATTCTTAAAGTTTTTCATTTAGCATCACCAAATGAAAAACGTATTAGTTTGTCCATATTTAGAAGAAGAAAAGTTGAAAATTATCAAAGGAAATTCTATTTTTCCCTTTTTGCACACTTAACTATGCAATATTATTATTAATACCCATACAATTAACATTAATCCAAACCCAAACGAACAAAAAGAAGAATAACCCAAATCAAATTATTGCATAAAAAGTTATGGATGGTTACCTACATTGATGTCCTTTTGAGTGCATCGTCACTGGCGAGCTTTATACGGCAGGCGTGAAGCGCGAGCGCGGGCAGGAGGCAGCATCAGGCGAAACGGCTCCGAGCCTCCGAATCCAGTCGCGCGGCACCCGCCGTACAACTTGCACGTATTACCCCCTACCGTGCCGCGCCCTCACCCCTATCAGTGTTCGGGAAAATCTTCGTATTCCCGGCCAACGTCGCCGTACTGCCGCGTCGCGTTTGCTTTACAATAGAATCCAATTTATCCTCAACGACATAACCCACTTTGTGGATCAGGACAGGTGTGACGTGAAGTGCTCTCGATACTGTGCTATGGTGAATTTTCGGAAATGTATGCTAGTGTCGTCGAGTGAATAATAGATCGGGGCTACCTCGGAGAGCCGGCACCGCTCGAGGTGGGTCGCATGTAATATTTAGTGGCCCTCGTGCCGTACTCCTAACATTAATAAGTCGCAGCCCTGTCACTACTTAACGAGTTATCAAGATGAACGAGCCGAGGCACTGCTTCACACGTTAAATATTTAATTTTATATGTTCATCATGCCTAAATGAGTGTGGCCTTTAGCGCTGGATTATGTGTGGTGTAAGCATTGCATATTAACGAGTAAATGAAGAGTGTGCGCATTGTGACGCTCCACGGGTAAGCAGCCCCTTAACAGTCCTAACGACATGGTTTTCAAACCCAAACCTAGCTACTACTTAATACGCACGAGTCCGGATTGTCTTTCCCACGATTTAGAGTCCCTTGAATAAATACTTAAGACACTTTCAACCTTTCAAAGAGTAAGACCTTAAGTGATGTCAACGACTACCGAAAAAAGAGAACTGATTTATCAGACCTTAAAATATAATCAATGCTATAAGAAATTAAGTGCTCCCTTCAAGTTTGGTGATGTGATACTCCTAATGGAATAGACATTTAGTCTACTAGGAGTAATTATAAGGAAATAAACTATGATTGAGTAATCTCAGCATTAGAGGTATCGTCAACTAATTTGCCTTCACATAATTAATATTAAGCTGAACATTTAGCAGATGTTAGTTAAGGGAGATGTCGCATAGTGCTACAATAATTAATAATAATTAACATCGGATCGGGTGGGTCTGAGGCGTATTAATTACGTAGGATAAACTTAGAGAGCTCTGATTTATCCGGGACGATGCGAGAATAATACCAACGTTTACAAGACAACACCATCTGGCAAAGTATTAGGCCTATTAGTATTTTGTATAATACACTTTGTTATTTGCAATGAAATTTACCCAGCTATAAACGTAGGACAGCATTTAGTCTGAGACAACGCTAACGACCAAACACACGGCGCTCGAAAGACTAACTTTTTGTCGAGATCCTGGGATTTCGTTTTTTGCTGTTTCGGGTTTATTACAAAAACGACGACATTCTAACTTTCCTAAGAGGATTAAATTTTCAGTAAAAAATGGCAATTATAAAATAATGGTATTTACCGGACATTGAAACTGCGCAATCTGAATTTATAATGAAAAAATGTTAACTATATCCAAAAAATTTCCTACTTATATTAGATCTGTATCTTCCAATATACCATTAGACTTTCAAATCATCTTGTGAACTAAAGATCTCTGTTCTTCTCGTAATACATAAATGTAGCGTTACAGTGTGTGCTGATATTGTCTGCAGCCAATTGTAGTCGCCAGCCTGACTTATTGTGGACAAGTAACGATCGTGTTGCGAATACGTCCTGTGAATGGTTAGTTTGTCGTTCCCTGGAATACAATACAATGCACAATATTCTCAGTATCACTGCTGTCTGTATTACTACCATTTATCTTTAGACAGGCTATAAACTTGTCTATTATCTCAGTCACATAAAAAGTGAATATTGTATCTAAGTTAAAAGCGTCTGATTTTCTAAGAACATTATAATAATTTCAGGACAATTCACACATTTACACGGCGCCATCTAGACCCAAGTTAAGCTAGCTAAAGCTTGCACTAAGAATGAGTACGTAGCGGTTTCTATGTTGATTATCGCATGCCTCTTACTTGTTATTCTGTAATTATTTAAAATATATTGTATCTATTTCAAAAGAGCAACACAAGTTTCTTGTGATGAATCTGCGGTCCGAATGAGTGGTAGAATCAAAATATGACTATTCAAAAGTGCTTGTAATGAGTTTATTTGAATAAAGATTATATATATATTTCTATTTATTTCTATAGTTACTAGATAACTGATACAAATACACAGATATACATATATTATTTTCGTAAATGCACAATATACATAGAAAACACCCAGACTCGATACAAACAATCCTACTTAAGAATACAAATGTTTGATCCGTGCGGGAATCGGACCCGCGACCATCGAAAGTAAGATGTTCTAAACCACTAGTCTACCGAGGTCGTCAAATGTATATTACTAGCTCGCCCTGGCTTCGTACGGGTGTATATATATTATACATATAAACGTTCCTCTTGAATCTCTCTATCTATTAATAAAAATCGCTTCAAAATCCGTTGCGTAATTTTAAAGATTTAAGCATACATAAGGACAGACAGCGGCAGTGACTTTATTTTATATTATGTAATGATGATAATTCTTATTAAATCATTATCAATATGAGTATCACAGCACAGCACTGCAACGCCATATAAATATATATAATTCAAATGTGACTGTAGTAGTATACGTAGTGATCTATCAACGCACAGACCAAACCACTGGACGGATCGGGCTGAAATTTGGCATGCAGGTAGATGTTATAACGTAGGCATCCGCTAAGAAAGGATTTTGATTAATTCTACCCTCAAAAGGGATAAAATAGGGGATGAAATGAATGTTTATATGAAACTGTCAATTTTAAACCGATCGGCCTGAGACTTTGCATGCATAAAGCTACTATGACGTAGACATTCCCAAATATAAATTCCACCCCTAAGGGGATAAATTAACGCGAGCGAAGCCGCGGGCGAAAGCTAGTGATTTAATAAGATTATATTTAAAGTATATTTGTAAATGGATTATATAGGCACTGCTGAAAAGAGTTGCACAAATTAACGAGTAACTACGCGTGCTGCGTTAATTAACAGTTCTCTAGCTTTCATGTCGACATCGAGCCCTCAAGTCCATAGGGACTCCTTCACCGTTGCCCTCCTTTTCATGTATATAAAACAGTCCCTATTTTGTTTAACGAAGGTTTTGAATAATTATATTCAAAGTATTTTTCTTAGATATCTTATATTTGCATATTCAAATTCGAATTCAAAATATCTTTATTCATATAGGTCTATTACAGACTGTTATGATATGTCAAATCTACAGTCAGTTCGGAATGATTTCAAGATGAGAAGAACTGACAAGAAACTCAGCTCGTATTCTTTTCAAATAAATGTTGTACATGTTTACAATAATACAGATATATTTTTAAATTCAAATTTGAGAGAATAGAGTGACCTCCAGCATATGATATTGCTAAAGCAAATAGTGTAATCAGTGTTCGTAACCTAAACAGACCAGTCCCCACAAGCAACCCTTGACGAGTATGAATAGATCATACTCTATGTAAAATCTGTTTTATATAATATCTTTATTGTAATTTATGTGCGTCTGTACAGTACAGACTGAAAATCAGTGCTTGAAACTGGTTCCAGCATAATGCTGAGTTGTGATCCACATTGGCTCAGTTTTGTAATGTATGTAAATTGTTGTCTCAAGACGAGTCAATAAATTCTAGTTTTCATAGGAATAAATGTTATTCGGTTTTAATGTAATATCTGATATATTATTATGTTTTAAATTATAATTTATGTGCGTACTGTGATCGCAATTGAAAATTAGCGCTAAAAACTATGTTTCCAGCATTATGTTGAGTTGTGGTCCACATTGACTCTGTGTTGTAATGTACATACATTGTTGTTTGTATTGTTGTCTCAAGACGAGTCAATAAATTCTATACTATTCTATATTTTCATTCTTATATATTCATAGGAATGCATTTATCCAGTTTTATTATAATATCCTATATATGGTTTAAATTATAATTTATAAGCGTACGTGGGTCCAATGAAAATCAGCGCTGGAAACTGTTTCCAGTATTATGTTGAGTTGTGCAAATTGTTGTCTCAAGATGAGTCAATAAATTCTATTTTTCATTCTTATACATTCATAGGAATAAATTTAATCCGCTTTTACTGTAATGGCCTGAGTGTATTGTGTACGAGATTCAAAAGATATTGTGCACTATCAGACATGGCCGGGTGAATGCGTACGGTGCTGGCAAACTTCTTGATTTCAGCATCTGATAAGAGAGCAATAAACTTGTTTTATGCCTGCAATAAAAGCGAAGGAGCTGGCGGGAGACAGTCCCGCCTCCTCATCGTTTATGCCCCACGTTTTCCAGATTGTTGCCATGCTAAAAATTTTAAATCATCTCTTACTTTACATTTCTTGGGCAAAGATTTGATTATTAAAAATGCCAGCCCTAACGAGAATCGTGCAGCGCAGTTTTATAGAGATTTTCATTTACATTTTCAAAGCGGCTGAAATTTGGCCCATCCTTAGTAGTATTATAAATGCGAAAATAACTGTCTGTCTGTGTAGCGCTTCGACGCTAAAACTTAAAAATGGGAAATGAAACGTTGTGTGGAAGTATCGCCATTTTTAAAGCTAAAAGTTTGGAACTTACTTTTAAGGCTGTTGATTAAATAAAAGTTAATATGAAATTCAAGTTTTGTTTAAATTTTACCATTGAGGACGGTAAAATAAAATTGGGGATGAAAGTTTGTAATTAAATTGGTCATTGTCTAAAACCATAAAATGAATTTGCTTGAAATATTTTTTTTCTTCAAATATGATAGTGTAGTGGTTATGTACTGATTGTCGCATGCATTCTTATGTAAACTACAGATACTATAACTACCATATGGTAATTTTTAGTAGCTAGGACGTGGTCGAGTCGAAAGTAGTTATGATCACTAAAATGTCCAAATATGTGGCGGTGTTTTGGGCCGGGTCATAAAATATGGTCGAGCGCAGTGATGGCTGGCTCATACGTCATACTCGTGAACGAGTGCTGCTTGTAGGGACTAGTCTGCTCTAATCACTACGACTGTTTTAATCCTATTGTGTGCTTAATATCTGAAGCTAAAGTTTCTTGCTCGTTATTCTTGTGATGAGACAGCTTTCCGAATGAGAGGTAGATAAAAAAAAATATGACTATTCAAAATTACTTAAATTAAGTTTATTTGAATAAATGACTTCCTATTCTACTCTATTCTTGGCTTGTGTTAGATAAATAAATATCTTAAACTACTAAATTGGAAATGTAAAATTACAATGATTGTTTAAAAGAGCAACACACAAGTTTCTTGCTCGTTCTTCTTGTGATGAGACAGCTTTCCGAATGAGCG